GCTTCTTTTTCCCACTGAAGAATATTAAAATTTGGTTGTAATTACACTATGGGCCTTGGATTTAATTTGACACTTACAGTGAAGGAGAAAAATTTTATTTCCTGTGTTCACGTTTAGGAAACTTCTGATCAACATTCTTGAACTTGGTGCTAATTAAGCCTCCAAGAACAACTGCTTTACCCTTCTTAATCATCAGCATTTAAAACCTTTGTTAGCGTTCATTGGGAGTCCCTGGTTTTAACTTGAAATGGCTTAAAGTAGAAATTTTGTTGGCTTTTTTGTATGTTTGGATTTTGTGTGTGTTCTGTTTTTAAGTTTCAACTTGAGTTTTAAGATCATCAATCAGAGGCTTTTCTTTTAAGTCAGTGGCACTGCTCACAATTGCAGGACTTAGAGGTTCAGCATCTCCCTCATGGTATTAAAAAAAATTTAAACATAGGGAGTATTTTAGGAATTTGAGCTCTGCTGATCTTTTCATCACACACCTACATTTTGAAATGAACAAATAAATTAGATATAAGAAACCCAGGAAACGTTCTCCCACGGTTTCCCTTCCTCTCCCTCTTTCACTCTTGTTTTTGGACAAAGGTAAATCATCAACTGCTACATCAGCTTTCAGCAAGCCACAAAGAGGTTAATTGTAGCTTTACATATTTTAAAATACATTCATTTATTCAAGCTTTTTCTTTTCTTTATTTAAATCTTTTTCTGCACACATTTTTTTCCCTTTGAACTATTGAGAATATGCCTCATCATCTTATGTTCTGTAACTCCAGTGGACACTATAATCACCCTGCACTTTCATCTTTCAGATGGCATTTATTTATGGGGTGTGTATGTCTGTGTCTGACTGTCAGTTGTTTTCATCTGCCAAATAAAACTAATTTTTGTTTATAGGTTTCAATGAAGCAATGAAAACAAAGTATTTGACATCTGGAATGTTGGTTGTTGCAGGATTTCCTATACCCGTCTACCTAGCACCCGAAGGTCAGGGTGAATTAGTTTAGCCTTATCATTAATAATCCCAGTTAACTTCATTGAATTTAGTCTTCAAAGTTTTGCTTCCAGATAGGATTCTATAATATTATACATTTAAAAGTTTACTGGGTTCTTAGGTTCAGTGTCAACTGAGTGTAATCTAATTTCTCCAGATTGGAGTAAATTCGGGCCTTCTGACCAGATGAGAATTAGAATTGGATGAAGTGAATCTAAAGCAGACTGAAATGAATCTTGAGTTCATTGCTGAATTTCATTTGCAAGTGTGTCCAGCATTACATGTGTTAATTTCATATTTTGGTTCAAGAGGCTTGGTATCTTCTTGTGGGGAGAGCTTTGTAGATGCTACTTTTCTACTACTCTATGCAATCTGCTGCTTCACGTATGCATAGCTGAAAGATTTGTGCAACTGCCTCTCTAACGCACTTCCTCCCTGCCCCCTCTGCTCTTATTTCTTCCCACATGAAGTATCATATATTTTGTTAGGAAGAAAAGCCCTTTTGGAATTGCCTATTTCATAAATTGTATGGTGACACAAAAGGATTTAATGCTGTATTCTTGTCTCATTTATTTTGAAAACTTTGCTACTGAACTCACCTTAATCAATGAGCTCACTGTTGTCTCCAATAAGTTTTGTGTTGGATATATTGATTGGGAGGGATTTTAGAAGACCCGTCTGGGGTTTATAATGTCAGCAGTGTTTTGATTATGAAAAGAGTTGGAACCTGGGGACATGGAACCAGGTGGCAAATGTCCTAAAGCCAGTGGTGACATGGTGGACTGGTTTCCTCCTGGGATCCAGTTCATGCCCTGCACTTTAACTGTGGTGACTGGCTACTATAGATTCACTTTTTTGCTCATTAAAATGTTAAAAAATCAAACTGTACATAAAAAGATTTGTGAAAATATAAACTTGGGAATTGATCTGGAGAGCTGGCACACAACCCTCCCCATCCCCTGCCTTAGCAATGAGGTCATTTACATTTCATCAGCTGTGCTGCATCCCCAAGATCCGATTTATGTGGCAGTAGTTGAAGTTGCACCGAGGCTGGTTGTCTAAAAGAGCTTGTGTAGGCAAGAGAAACGGGAACAAGAACAAAAAATTACCATCTACAAAGAAGGTGCCCTAGCCAAAGACACAAGTTCTAGCGAGAAAAAGGGGTTGGTAACTGGTTAATGACTGATGTCCCAATAAAGTTAATATTTAAAGACTGTGGGACACTGCCATGAATGTGCTGCTCAAAATATATTTAAATCAGGATTTTAAAGTTCCCCTTTCTCAGAGAGTCGTATTTTTCATATTCAAATAATTGTATTTTTCTTTGGGAAAAGAGGATAAGGCATGAATGTTTATATGTAAGGAAAACATCTGTATTAAGAAAATTGGTTTATGTAACTTGTTTATTTAATTGGTTTATTGCCGTTTTAATTTACAGAGAACATTGCTTGTTTTTCCCTCCCTCTTCCTGTCCTCCCCTTCCCAAATTAAGAAGTAGATATCTCAGGTCTGAATTTGATAATGTGTGAATATGCTGAACACAGAGTAGATGCTCATTTTTGTTTTTTCTTCTGACAGCACACCACCATCTTGTTTGATTTAAATTGGAATATCAAGCTCTTGTAATATCACAAACATGAAGAAACATATTGTAATGTACCAACATGTGCCTACGTTTGCCTATATTCCCTTCTCCCTCCCCTCCCCCTGCCCCATTGCTTAATTAGATTTATTGCTGTTTGCTTTGGTAAAAAGGAAAGCTGGTGGGTGGTTACACTCAGCTTACATTGGGTATTTTGATATTTGTTCTAATATTACCTGACAGACAAGTTCAAGTTTGGTTATTACTATTGACATTAGAGAGTGGTAAGAAGTTTCTATATTGTGGTGAGTAATAAGTTGGGCATATTAGATTCCTTTGACTCTGCTGTAGAGCACAATGCCATTTCATAGCCATGGGGGTCTTTTCTTTCAAAAATCTTTGAGGCCTTTTGCCAGTGCAACTGCAGCATAGAGTAGAGAAGTACTTTCTGCACTTGTAACTTTTGAGTGGTAAAGGATAGCTGTCTTTGTAGCTGATATTGTCAATGAGTGAGCACTGAATACTGAGTTTTAAAGAATAGCAGATTCATATACTGAAGTTAAGAGATGCTTTCTGTTACTAGTCAAAACTTGAAGTGGAAGGAAATTTGTAAGGAATTTGTGTGTAAATCATAAGGATTTTGTGTATGCGAATTATAGTATATTTTATAATTAATTAACACTACAGGCATTAAATGTTTTATGTGATCTTTTTTCCTATCTTTGCCTGATAATAACATTATGCACTGAAAGATTGCCTTTGTTCTGATTCTGTATTACCTATTGCAGTTTATCTAAGCGTGATTAGTTTATAAACAATGTATATGCCTGAGTGCCACATTATAAATTAATTAATTTATAAATAGTGTTTTTTAGGATATGCTGAGGTGTTCTCATCCACTCTTTTTCACTTCTTAATTTCCTATTCATTTATTATATTATTTCATGACATGCCTTAACAGTGCTGTGATATACATAGTGCCAGTCCAAGATGATATTAAAAAATAGGATATGCTCAATTGAATTATGTAGGCGGAACATGCTCTGGCAGAGCAAGTCAGTGTGCTTTCTGCTTCATTGAGTGGGTTATTAGATTGATGTGGTTTATTTCTTGAATGATAGAACTGGTTTTAAAAATAAATGAAGCGAGAAGCATCAATTCAGTTAGCATTGATAATTCATTATTATTGGTTAGAAAAGTGCTACATTTGTAAACTGATCTTTAATTTATCACTTGGATTAGGGTTTGCAATGGGCAGGTTTGTTTTAATTTGAACCAGCTTCTCAATGACTGAAAAATGTGTTCTTCATTTTGTCTTGAAGTTGGGATTTTAAATACTTAAAAAGCAAATCAAATGCATGAAAGGAATACTTTTTTAAAATTTATAACATTGGTCTGTGAACTTATGATAAGCACCAACTGTGGGCTGTCCAAGTCTGCAGTTAAATTAAGTCAAGCTAAGGAAAATTCTATGAAGGAAATAGTAACTACCTGTCTATGTGGTTAGCTATGTGTATATGTGCTATATATATGAAATGAGTCTTTTAGGGAAAGTCACACACCACTGTATATTGTGTGTCATGTACTTTTGTTGTTGTTGTTATTGTAAGAATTTATTTTATGAATAAGTTGTTGAGATGTCACCTTATTTTGTGTGCCCTAATCCTGAATAATGTGCCTGGCTTTATGTACTTATATATGTATATATATATATTTTTAAAAAAGACATTTAAAGTGGTAGTTTGCTTTAGATTTTAATAAATTACAAGCTGGTGAGTCTGTTCAATTAATTTCAATAAGAATAGTACATACTTAAAATTGTTACAGTTTGGTTCCAAAATAAATGTATGCCAAAAATGGCAACTTCTTTATAAAGTAAGTAAATGAAGTTTTAAACTCTAAAAAATGTAGCTGACAATGTTCAGGGACAATTATCTTCAAGTTGGCTTTCCATTCTGCTGTGATTTGGCCTATTGATGTTGGGAAGCGTTGTCTAATCCCGGCCCCCTCTGTTCCTAGGTAACAGGCAAAAACGGTGCCAGCAACAGCGGCCCTGCCAGGCCAAACCCATGTGGCTCGGTGTTATTCACTCTGATCCATATGGTCAGGCTGGAGATGTTCCCTGGAGGGGTGTTAACACTCAGCAACCCAACCGCCTCCCTCCCTTCAGAGCTTTCCTGCATGGCTCCTGCTGCTTGCCCATGTGTGATTCTTGATTAATTTTTCATTTTTAATGAAGTTTGATCATGTTTATTATTTCTCATGATTGACTGCCTGGTACTCCTCCCATGTAATTGATAAAGCCCATATTTCTTCATCTGTCTCCTCTTTCTTTAGGGTAAAGTTGCTAGATTGTGTGCTGTGGTTAATGTTAGATTTATTGGTCCCATTAGATGTATAAATTATCTCTCTTTCTCTCCACAGGAAGTTCTACAGACTTTGACCAAGTTTTGTTTCCCCTTCTATGTTGACAGGTAGTGTCAGATTTTCAAACTTTACTAGAAAAAAAAGTGTCAATAAACCTGCTATAGAAAATAAAAACCATACCATTCTTAACATTCTGTCTGTTTAACCATGATTTAAGATACCTGTGTTCCAAAGAGAGTTGCAATATTCTCCCTTCCTGGGGTTTTTATTGACACTATCAAAAAGTTTAAAGCTTAGACTTTGCATTGGTTAGTTTGTGAGATGTATTTTGTATGGCATTAAATTTTTGATTTTGGTTATCAGACTTAAACTGTGATTAAGAATGGTTAGTATTTAGTCTGATGCTATTTGTTATTTAAATATGAATATATTTGTCTTAAACAAGTAATATTACTTGACTCCAAAGTTTTGTATTATATAGACTTTGTTTTTCCCAGACTTCAACTTATAATTTAAATCAGCCTAGCCCTATCTTGTTTAAAGGTATTCAGCTATTTAAAGAGAATATTGCTAAATAGTGTTTTATATTTTGTCTAGATGGCTAAGAATGGTATCTGGGGAAAGCAGAATTTTCTATAGATTTCAAGACTTAAAAAGTACAAAACTGCCTAAACATTTCCTTAGTATTTACATTGTGATAAACTGTTTCTTAGGAGCAAATCTAAGAACTCTAAGTCAATTAAAATAGTCTGAGTGTTTTATTTTCTTTTTAACGTGTCACTGGTTAATGAAAATTTTAGAAGAGCTTTTTTTTTTAACTTTATAAACCTAATTTATTAACGATATTAATAAAATGACAATTATTTTATTTTCAAGAAATGTCTACTCGTTTTCATTACAGTTGAAGCATTATTGTTTTACATTCATTTATATGCCCACTTGATTGTTGTCTCTTCAGGTTTCTCTTAATGGAAATTTGAACTATGAAACTGTACATACATTACATCTTTAAAAATCCACTTTTATTGACAGAGAGGTTGTAGAAAATAACTTTGTAAGTAAGAAATGCCATAATATAGTCCAAGAAAGCTGTAAAATTTGTGCTCCTCTTCAGAAAGATTCTATCATGTATTTTAGTGTACCGAAACAAGGCAAAGCCTGTAAGATGTCAGTGATTTAGAGTATATGTGGGTAGTATGCTGCTTGGATCTTTTCTACACGTTGTAATATCACTGTCCTGGTTTATTTGGCATAAACCTAAAGATGGTATGAGATGAGAATTAGTAGCCAAAGGAGTTTAAAAGGGTACTAAAAAGCAACTCTGGAATGTTGCCAGCCACTTCTAATCACTGCTCTCCCTGGTTCTAACATTTTATTTTTTCTTAAGCCAATCAACCATTGTAGTATTTCCATACTCAGACCTTGTAAATCCTGGTACCAGGAATGTTTTAGTAGCAGGTTGATGCTCAAAAAAGAATAGCCTTAATTCTAAGAGGGTCAATCTTTGTAATGAGAGTCCTCTTGTCTCTTCTTTAGCCTATTCCTCTTAAAAATAGCAAGAAAGTAGGGTTTTGTTTAAAGATATTTAATGCAGATTTCACATTTTATATGTATGAATTAGCAGTGTATGAAATCTCCTCCAGCCACTTATGTATGACAAATTATGGCAAAGACATATTTATAAAAAGTAGTAAAGCTGAAATGTTTAAAAATGTCGTTAGGTATTTAACAAAGAAAAATAAGAGAAAACATTTTTACATGACTTCTTGTTAGAGTTGATTTGTTTTGTATAGGTGTTTCTTAATTGACTTTGTAAACTTATAAGAAATGCATAGAGATTAAATCTCTCTCTTTCCCACCAGCACACGTGCAGGTATGTGCATGCATACACACATACACACACTTATATTTCTTTTTCTCTGATTTATACCACACATACACTTCTACTTCCCTACCTGTCTGAGTGATTACATTCTGAAATGGCAGAAAAGCTGAGTCCTTAACTGATAATTCTAAAATCTTTTTTGTTACCAATAATATCTGATTCCTTTTTGTTGTTGTTAGAAATATATTTTTCTTCCAGAATCCCTCTCTCCAAATTATGTTCCCCGAATCCTGTTCTTTTTTTTTTTTTTTTTAAATTAACAAAAGGATTTGAGTATGGGAATGTTTCTTTTTGGATATTTTATTTCTTAATATGTACAATAGTTCTTTCTTACATTGTATTATATTATATACCCTATGAGTGTTAATAACTTTTATTGATACCAAAAAACCACTTTATTTGGGGACTATATATTTTCTTTCTGTTCTCTCATCTTTCCTTGGTATACTTTAATACAGAAGAGATAATAATAATGAATAAAGTTTATTTATAAGAAACATAAGGGTTTCAATGTCTCAGCTTTTTATTAGTTTGCAGTTAGCACTGTCAAATGGATATCTCCAGATTCTGAGATCCACAAAGCCCCCTACATGTGTTTATGATATTGTTTGACTTAGAAAATATGCCAGCTTGGGAGACGAGTAATGCCCCAGGTGATTTCTTTCAAAAAAGAAAGCTTCCTAATCTTTTCAGTATCTCTGCTTTTCTACCCCAAGGAACAGTAATACAACTTTCTGACGTTTCTAGTCTATATCAAGAGTGGGATTTTCACAGTCATCATCAAATCACCTGTTAACTTTGACATCTTGCTGTCTCTTGTTTTGTTTTAAGATTTTTCTTTTTGAAACTAGGACTTAGGAAACATAATAAAGCTGGCAGCTTTTCAAAAGAATTTGCTTCCTCATATATTATCTCATTTTATCCTCCTATCATAAGAGATAAGAGCAGGTGCCATTATCTTCATTTGAACAAAATCTAAGCTGCAGAGAAATCGGAACTTGCCCAAGGTTCTCTTAGCACAACCAGACAAATACATTTTTCAGTAGACCACCTTGCAGGGAAGACCAGTCACCAAATATATAGAGAGGGAGGAAAGGAAGGAAACTAGGATTTGATTTCCTTATCGATTCTAGTCAAAATGCTGGGGGCTGCCACATCACTCTATCATTTATTCTTCCCAGAAGCTCTAGGAGATAGATGATGGCATCTTTTTTTTTTTTTTTACAAAAGAGCAAAGGAAGATTCAGGATGTAGTGCATTGTGTTGGGTAGTATGGGGGATAACAGAAATGGTCTCAGACTTGGAGCCCTGCCCTCCCAGTCTAGTCCAGGAAGTATTATAAAGATATTTTAAACAGTAACCCAAAGGATAGTGAGGTTAGAGAGGACCAAAATGGTCAGAGAAAACTTCTTAGGATTGGGGAGAATTGTGTTGAGTCCGCCAGGACAGGAAGAAGTGGGTAAGTGGAAAGGAGAGTGTAACACCTCATCTGCACTGAACAGCAAAGCAGAGGAGAAGCCCCAATGAGCCTAGAGCTTGTTCAGCCAGAGCAGATGGAGCCTGCTGGGGAGAGGGTGACTGTGAGAACCTGGGCTCTGGCCACAGGAGGCTTTGAAAATGTGTGGGAACAAGACCACAGGATTTTAAAACTGAAATTCATCTGGTTCAAACTCCCCATTTTATAAAAGGAAAACCATGATCCACAGAGGTGAAACGACTTGCTTATGGTCACAATTATGTAATTTACAGGGCTGGGAAAGGCACCAGTACTCTTATTCCTAATCCAGCGTTATTTCTACCCTACACTGTACATGAAGCTGTTGGTGGAAGGAAGTAGTGAAGTGTCAATGTTGAGATCCCTGTATCATTCTCAAAAACTCATTATTACTAATGAAAGTAGTCTCTTAAAAGAAAAAAAAAAAGAAGACTTGTACCATTCCATATCATGTTTGTTACTTGCTTGCCCTTGATAGCTGACAACCAGCTTCAGTTAGTCAAAGCACTCAAGAGATGCATTGGATGACGGAAAAGCTATTCTCTTCCATTTTTGTGTTTATCCTCTTTCAGAACCTGGAAAGTCAGCTACCATTCTGTTTTCCTGTAAATTATACTGGCACACACAAATGAATCATAGTGAAATGCAATGAAATAATCTCTTCAGGGGCAGAGGCATCATTTAATGGTCAGGATGTAACCCTAGATGCAAAAGTGGCTCAAATGCTACTTACCATTTTATTGGGTATCTGTTATGTGCCAGGTGTTGTCCTGTGTTCTTTTCCTGTAATAAAAGGTTACAAATTTGCAAGGTTACCATTATCCTCATTCCACCCAGGAGGAAACAGAGGCTCAGGCTCGATAACTTACCCAAGCTCCTACTACTAGTTAGTGGTAGAGATGCTTGCAGAACCCTCATTTGCCTGACTTCCAACTCCACCATACCTTCCCTGTTTTCCCATACTGCCTACATAAGATACATCACAGCATAAGTAACCTAAAAAACAGTTTTATTTATTTCAAAGGCAGTAAAGCAATGTATACATACTGTAGAGAAGTAGGAAATTGAGAGAAAGAAGAAAATGAAGCCCACACAGACATAGGAATAGTGTATTAACATCTTATCTTCTCAGAACTCTCCTCCGTAGATTCACCCTGCTCTACCTTTCAAACTTGAACCCACTTGGCCCACTGTAGTCCCTTGGTTTAGCTTACACTATAGGTTCAGCTGTGCCCCATGATTATTTGCTACAGTGTTGATGACGATGAAGCAGTTGGGCCTTAATGGACAATGTGGTGGGCAGCAACCAGGAGATCTGGGTTTTAGTTTTGCTTTTACCACTGCTCTGCTCTGTGCTGTGAGGCAAGTGACGTCTTCCCTGAGGTTCTTCATTTTTTCATGGATAAAATGAGGGAATTGGATTCCATCAATCTCTGCTGTTCCTTCTGGTTTTGATGCTTTTTAATTCTACAGTTATGCTTCATGTTGACTTTGTCAAGCTCATGTAGAGGCAGTGAACAGAACTCTGTTCTTAGAATCATCTGGTGAGTTTCTCGAGCAGGTAGGCATTGCCTTCTGTCTCCAAGTATGTCACTTACTGTTGGTCCCCTCATATTTTGGGTCCGTGTCATTCTCACCACTTGGATCTTTGAGCAGGGAAGGTGAGAAACTTGAGGCCTAGGCAGAAGTAAGGTGTGTTTGTGGAAGAAAGCTTCAAGGCTCATGGA